CTCCTGGGCCCATTGCTTTTCTTCTAGAAAAAAAGGCGCCTGTACTCACAGGAAGTTGTTACAGTTAGTGCCACACATTTAACCAGCACTTTTCTTCTAGGAAAAATTGTTCTGGTACTGCGTACACTTGAGTACCCCCAGAAAAAAAGCACTGCCGGGGCCTATAAATCATTCTATTTTGGTCTCAAAAACTTTACCTGGTGGTATTATAGCTACACATCTCTTTTAGTTCTTTGATAAGTGAACCTCAGTGATTCACTGAATTCAACAAGGCTTGTTTTGGCACAGGAATCCGGGCTGTTAAATAGACTAGAGTTAGTTTGGGACAAATTGCTTCTTGAACTTCTGTGTTCAGGTCAATGTATAGCTTCTGCTGTTTCCACTTTAGTAGCTTTTACGTCCTTTCTGTGAGGACCTTGCATTGGATGAGTTTTTGTGCCTTGGAGCTGAGCTAATTAAGATAAGAGGCTGTGGCAGTGGTGCACCAAAACATATCACCAGCCAAAGAAACCAACAAAAAACCACCCCTTAATTGCAGCATATTAGTAGTAGTAGTAGTAGTAGTAGTAGTATTAATGGTGGTGGTGGTAGTGGTAGTGTTTCTTTGCTATCCTTCCTCCCATATAAGTCCCGTGCAGTTCACAACACGGCAAAGTGCAACCAGAACTACTTTCTTATTTTACATCCAGAAACATACTCTAGCCTTACTGGATAGGGAGGAAACTAGGCATTTATTATCTTTAAGCTCTCTTCTGTCCCTGCTGTGAAAATCAGGCAGCAGATCCCTGAAATGGTCAGCTGAACCCAAGACACACTGCCTCATTGTATGACTCGCTAGTAGCGTGTGCTGGTGCTGTTGAACTCCAGCAAGAGTGGAGATTGGGGGTGTGTGGAAGGAAGGGAAAGAAACACACACAGAGAGAGAATGAAATCAACAAAAGGAAGGAGAAAAAGAGGGGAATAATATGAATGCAGCTGTAGAGAGACCTGTGGATAAGCAAACTATAAAAAAGGCATGGGTAACACACACCCTTTCTTTCGGTTGGGGGGGGAGGGTTGTATAAAAATGTCACTTCCAGTGACCTGATTGAGTATTCATCCTGATTTTTTTGCAAAAAGTTTGCAGCAAGGTTAAAAGACTTCAACTCTATTGAGCATCCATTCTGATTTGTTTACAGGGAGGCTACATAGCACTGCATCAATAAGTTGTTATCCCATACATTCTAGTGCATTTCCCCATTATTGCAAAAAGCAGTGAGGGAGAGCATGCACACTGTAAGGTGCAGTGAGAAAAGGAGGCAGGGTATGCAGAGAGAAGATATATTATGTTGTGGGGTGCTGAGAGAAAAGGGGACTAACAGAATGGTTTAAAGAAATAAAAAAACTGAAAGAAAAAGACTTTTCTTTGGTAAAAATAGTAACACAACCCTCACGTGTTAGTAAAAAAATTGTTCTACATCCCTGAGCTACGGTGAATTCTACATCCCTGAGCTACGGTGACATGTACTAAGCTTAATGAAAGTGCTGAGCACAAAGAACTGAGCATTTGCTTGGTTGTGATCAGTTCTTTAAACAAGCATCTCAAGCATAACGTGTTCCAGCGTGTTAGAAACTTGTATGTACTTGAGGGAATAATCACATTTTGACAGTTGCTGAGTTTTTCTCTTCATTGTTATAGGCACAAAGTCTTCAAATCAATTGCAAGCTTCTTTTGATGATAGCAGGAGCCTCTGTGCGTCATTGGGGGTATGCTCTAAAAGATTCATAATTTATCAAATATCCAATTTTGCTAGAAAGTTTTAAACAAGTCATAAATGATTAGACAGCCTTTGTAGCCACAAATCCACTGGAATTAGTTTCATGAGATTAAATGCATTGGAGTGGTAATAAATATCTGGTTTTGGTTATCACTTTGAGTAGTCTAAACTGACAACACTCTGTTTCTGCTAATGGATGGGGTATTGGATTTCATTTTGCTGCAGCACTGTACAGCCACCCAGTATCTATAATTTGTTTCCCCCTACAATTCAACTGCTTTAATGTTAGTAGGGATTTATGCTGATGCATTGGATGGAAAAACAGTAATTAACAGTAATTGAAGGTCTATAGATACACTGGATATCTAGGAGACGATCTCATTTCAAATAAGTCTTACATATGCATACCTAGAAACACGCCATTAAGAATGTAGAGATGTGTGACAAGAAGGAATTAAGTCCAAATGTTTTTGGAGTTCATGGAGTCACTCTCTAGACAGCTTGGCCTTCAGTTGAGAAGGTGGTGCTCCCACATTATTCAAGGCATCTGTCAATGGTTTCAGCTTTTTTGGACTGAAAAAGATGGAAGCAGGTTGCAACTCTTCTTAGAACATGCTGTAGCCTCAACACTGCCAATTAATGAATTACCCATTGTTCCTTCTACAAGTTTGTCCGTGTATTGAACATGGTCCTGTAACTGCTACTTAAAACAGTGTTATGAAAAACAGAAGTGAAACTTGAGATTTGATTTAATTAGTGTGCATGCTATGAAAGCTTTTAATACTAACTTTTTATAAGCTGCCAAGGAACCTGTTGAAGGACAGGCCACCTGGTGGCTCTTCATGACATATATGACAAAGCAAACACATGGTTGGCACATTCCACTGAAATATGATTTTATTTGGAAGTCTTTGTAGTTATATTCATTCTGTATATTGTTATGGTATGAATGCATGTATGCTTGCTGTATTCCCCAACCCTACCCATTGCCGGTACACAGGTCAGGACACTTCCTACTTCCTTTCATTGTGATTACTTGTCTGTGATTTGTTCACATTATCCTCTTGAGTAGTACTATATATTGTACGATTGCTGATTTGTGCTGCTTCATTCTTGTATTGTTTTGAACATGTTTAAGTTAAAAGTTTAAATAAAAAAGAATGAAAAGAAGAAAAAAGTCCTGCTGGAATAAGAATATGCTGTACAGTGGTACCTCGGCTTAAGTACTTAATTCATTCCGGAGGTTCGTTCTTAACCTGAAACTGTGCTTAACCTGAAGCACCACTTTAGTTAATAGGGCCTCCTGCTGCCGCCGCGCCGCTGGAGCCCGATTTCTGTTCTTATCCTGAAGCAAAGTTCTTAACCTGAAGCACTATTTCTGGGTTAGCGGAGTGTGTAACCTGAAGCGTATGTAACCCGAGGTACCACTGTACTTAATAGGTCCTTGTTCTGATTCAGCAAGGCAATCCTTATGTCCTGTTTGTACTTGAATCAGCTCCCCACCCCCAAAATTTGATTTGAGGCTTGCAAAGCTCAAACTGATGTGTGCTTAATAGATAAAAGATGTTTTATCGCATGGATAAACACAGTCCCCCATGCACTCTGGTGATAGCCTTCCAGGAACCGTCAGGCGATGGTGAGTCATAGCTTTCTTCCCTAGCTGCAGCTGTGTACCAATGCTCCATTAGAGCATTTTAATTTGGTGTTTAAAAGGCATACATGGCAGTCATCAGACCTGAATCAGGAAGAAACAGTTAAAAGCCTTCTAACTCTGAAGTTGCTGAAAAGCATTCTTTACCGTGTTTCAGACGTAGTGCTGGATCCAGTCTGTGAACCTCAGTGATTAGGGGGCACTCAGACTCACCCATAGTAGGTACCTCTTCACCTCTCTTCCAGTTGCAAGGCATGGCAACCATCTTTACTTCATTTATGTTTGCATTTAGCTTCCATACATTTGTCTATATCCAATAATCCGTCATTGTAGCCAAGCATACAATGAGTAAGCACCAAGATCACAAGACCTAGTTTCAGATAAAATATAAAGGGTTAGGCGCCATCAGCATTTTGATGGGCAGCTTATCCAAGAGTCCTGTATCATCTAATTAATAGAGCTAAAATTACACAGCGTATACCACATCCCCTTGGTACCATGCTTGTTTAAAAGCAGAGTTGGGAATTAAATCCATGAATCCTGATGCTAACAATCCAAAATGTATTCCTGTACTTGTCTTACAAGAGAAAAAAATCCAACAGAAAACATTTCACATATTGATATAGTAAAATTGCTTCAGGCACAGGACATGCAGAACGAAAGGGTTCCTATAGAAGATGGGGAATTACATAATCCCACCCAGGGAATTCTTAAGAAAACAGCAGCAAAAGACCATGCACTACACATTCCTAGAGACCCACCAACTGAAACTTCAACCATTTAAAACACAATTCTGGCTTCAGCCTTGCTATAAATAACTTTAATTTTTAAAATTATTGCATCATTTACAGTTCTTCCTTTAAACCCAGCTGACAAAATCCGCTCCAGATGTTTGGTAGGCAAGAACAGCAAGCAACAAAGTCAAACAAGAAAGTTGAAAACTTAATGAGCAGTGATGGATTTAAAATAAAAATAGGAGCAATAGAGGAAAATCCTGGATGAAATTTGAAACCGTTTTAAAAGGAGCATAATAATTAATTTATCTTGTTCATAAGACAGCAAATTTATTAGGTTGTTTTTTCTTCAAAGCCACGGGGACTTGGCTGATGAAACCTGAAATTGTTGTTCCATAACCTATGCTTTTATATTAAACAGATGACCTCAGATTTTGGAGCAGCTTTTGACTCCAGGGAAAGTATGCCATTAAGAAAGTGCCAGAAATGTGCTTAATTGATACAAGTCTTGAAAACCTCTCGAAAGGGTGTTATTTCCCATATACAGATTTCTGGGAAATGACAGAGCCCCGCTTCATACATTTACTGGAGGCTAGTGCTAAAACAGTGCCAAGGAAGAAAAGCCCTGGTCCTCCCCTCCCTCGTGCAGGTAACGTCCCATGCGAGTAGGTAATGTGCTCTTAAAATAATGGTGTATGTGTAAGCAGTAATCAGAACAGGAGCTTTTTCACAACTGGCCAGTACTGTGCAGGTCTTGGCTCACATGGCAGGCTATCTGCGTCGTGGTGGGGAGAGCTCACATCTCTCTTCCACCATTCCTTTCTTCTATGTCTCTCTTCACATCTCTTCCACTTTAGGGGAAAGGCTGTAGCTCAGTGGAAGAGCTTCTGTTTCACATGTAGAAGGTCCCAGGTTCAGTCCTTGGCCTCTCCAGATAGGGCTGGAAGACACCTCTGAAATCTGGGGAAGCCACTGCCAATCCATGTAGCTAATGCTGCATTAGGCAAATGCTATAAGGCAGCTTCCTATGCTATTTCAGTGCTTGCCCATACTGATTGTATGAATTGGGCCTAAAGAGCTATAGAATTTCATCAGAATTCAAGCTGTATGTGAAGGACTCCAAAGTCAAAGTCTGAATCCAATTCAAAAACTACTAATTAGATTACCCAAGAAATGTGATGCATTAGATATGCTCTGTTGTCTCAAACAGCTATCCTGGACAGATGGAAGAGTTTATCTTCTCTTGGCATATAATTAGGATTGAGTCTTTAAAAAAAGAAAAGAAAAAAAGATCAGGTTACGGATACAAATTATGAGCAAACTATTTAATTTCAGTGAAGCTTATACACAGTACCAGCTTGTAGCAAGAGACGCAGCTGGTAATATTTCCATAAGCCACTCTAGAAATTTCAGTGAACAGGAACTAGGGTGAATGTTTGTGTTTCAGTCTGAATATTCTCTGTACACTTGCATTTACACACACACACACACACACACACACACACACACACCCCAAAACCAGTCCAGCAACATTAATAAACAAAGACCCTTGTCTGATCTTTGAAATTCAGACTTGCAGGAACTCTGCCAATCTCGGGCAAGTTTTACGGAACACAGTAATTTGCCCAGACCGCAAAGTAATGGCCATGTATTTTTCTGCATGTTCCTCCCATTGTTAGTTATTACCAGGATCTTTATGTACAAACTGAATAAATTTTCTTTTCCAGTCAGGCTCCTCCTTACTACAGGGACGTTACACTCCTTTGTTTTCCCCCTCCACAACTCTGAATCACAGAGTCATGTGCCTGGTGCAATAAAATGAAACAGTAAGACTGGGCCAGGTTAGCGGAAGATGACTATTGAAGAGTGATTTCAGAATACAACACAATACGTATGCACATCTTACTGAGCATGAATACTTGGGATAATAAAAAAGAAGAAAAAAGAATTATAGCTATGCATAGAATTGCAGATGTTTTTATAACACACCAAGGGTTTTATTATACAAAGCAGAGCCTGGGTGTTTTTAACATATTAAGTTCTGCCCTGCTTTGTAAAAGTAAAACTGTTTTTTTCCTGCTGTGCTTAAACCAGCCAGATCTGTAAGCCTTCCTTGCAAAATTTCCTTTTCTATCGCCAGAACATTTTGCTTACCTATCTATTTGTAATTCTGCTGGGTACATCTGTTGCTGAAATCTGCAGGAGCACATCTATGAGTACAGCTATGAGGTTTTAATATTTACAGAAAGGAATTTACCCATTCCCTGCTAATTCAGAAATCTGCCTGTCATAACATTATAGTCTGAGGGGAGACTATAAAGAAAGGAGGATTGTAATGTAAGCTTCAGTGCACTTGAGCTATGTAGTATCAGTTAATTGCAAGCTGTGACATGAGCTGGGTGTGAGAGAATGAAGGGTAAGTTCACAGAATATAATGGGTATGTGCAGGAAAGCTCAACATCCCGTTTTTGAGACTATTAAAAATATTTTAAGCAACTTCCCCTCCCCCAAACCAACCCCTCCCCAAAAGTTTTGATCTGTAAAGCAGAATGAGCATAACTTCAGACTGCCCTTGGCAACTGCTTAGAGGCTGCAGATAGTGTTAAATCCTGAGAGCACATTGCACCACTGCCCCAGTCCCCGCACTGTTTCTCTGCTGTTACCGTCTGTGCATAATTTAGAGGGTTAGCTTTGATCTAAAGAGTCCTAAACAGCTTGAGCCCTGCCTAAGATAGGGCTTATCCTCATGGTCTTGCAAAGGACTACAGTAAGTTTTCACAAGAAGAGGGGAAGAGGGAAATGACTTGTTGTACTGGTATGTGTCTTCCTTTTATGGATTAGAAATGTGCTTCAAACTGGAGGGGGAGAACACATTTTTCCAGTTCTTCCCTCGTCTTCCTAAGGAGTCTCCATGCTGTAGATTGACATTGTTACTGTTACTTCCAAAAGCAAGAAAGAGAAAAGAAGAATGTTAAACCGTCACCTAATTAAGAAAATAAAAACATTCCTGCAGAGCGCTAACAGATCAGGATTCTAGTCCAGCCTGTTCCCTGATCCCCTGGTTTTCTTTATGCAGGGAGAAATAGGTTTCTTTTTACAAGTTGGGTAGTATTCTGATATCACGCCCCCTCCCAGGTGCACAGTGGGGCCATGCGGCCCTCCTGACACTGGCATCTCAAATGCTTACTGGAATGGAGCAGGGCAGTGTTGATGCTGGGCCTGTGCAGGTGAACTGGCGGAGTCCATTCTGCACTCCCACCAATGTGCCTGCGCATTGCTGGCACCTTTTGCCATCCAAATAAATGGCGCTGGCACTGATGTCAGTAGGACAGCTGCGTGGCACAGCCCCAATGCACTGGCTGCTCCTGCTTCCAGCACACAATTTTCCTGAAGGTGCAGACCACCTCTTAAGCTAGAAAAGACTGTCCAAAGTATATGAATCTGGGTGTGACTTTCTTTCCTTTGTGCAGTGTCATTCAGCCTGAATTCCGCCCCTCCAGCTCACGATCAGTTGAACTTTTGTCGTGTTGCCAGGGAAAAGGCAACTCTTTCTCCATACAGCAGTGATTTGGGATGCCGTCTTGGAATGTGATGGTCCAAGTTCAATGCATACCTCTTTGAATAGAGCCTATGATATCACTGATGACAGAGATGGTCATGTGCAGACAGCTCTGCTTCATTTTCAATGATTAAAATCCCCACTAGTTTAAGCTACTGGTAATGGGTCAGTTCATGTTATAGTACAGTAAGGCCTAGCTCCTTCATATAAGGCAATGTGGGTCATATTTACTGGTCTCAGGGACATCATCCTCACCATGTGGACTTGGGCCTGAATAAATATGGGAGTGCATGGAGGTACAAGTTGAGAGCAAGCATAATTTTTGACCTAGCGCAACATGATTACTGATCATCAGCCTTAGCTTGCATTTTCCTGGTTTTATGGAACTTGTGCCAACATGAGATGCCACTAAAGCAGGCTTGTTGGGAATTGAATTTTTCTGTTTTTTACAGAGAAGTTTATTCAAATACTAGGTTTTGTTAAATGTGTGTGCATATTATTCCAGTGAGTGGGTGTGGTTGTTGTGGTGCATGTGAGTGCATGTGGTTGTGGGGATGGGAGGCAGGGGTCACATCCGTTTCTCAAGTTTCCCAATGTACTCACTGGCCCCAACAGTTTGGTGAACCACTGAACTAATCACTGCGCCGCATTGTCATATTCTGTAAGTAAGGGGTTAGGCATTGCACATAGCATCCACTAGGTGGCTCCCTCTGCATATATTGGAGTCCTGGCAGAATTCTCACTTCAAAATTTAAATTGCGCATGCAGTAATTTTCATCAAAATTGAAAAGAAATATGTGATATGATTATATAAAAAAACAGAATAAAAAGGGTCAGGTATCTCAGTCTTCAGCACTTAAATGACTGTACCTGCTGCAGTTTATAATGGATCAGTTTGGAATTTGGCGCATTTGTCATCCCATAGAACACGTATGACAAGTATCAATTTATTTGCTTAACGGGTACCATTTTATAAGCAATATGATGCTTATAATGTCAGAACCCTGTTTTGTTTAATTTTGTTATTCACATTGACGGAAAGGGAGCTTTAGTATTCATCACTAGAGGTGGGATCTAAGGCTGCCCCTTGTGTTCCTAGCGGGGACAAGATATGAACTGAGGCCATCTGACCCAGCTCCTAAGTATTAAACACAATGTGGTACCAGTTCTGTATGGCTAAAATGCAGTTGGATTTTGCTTTGAGCAGGTGATCTGGATCGACTGTGTAGCTAGTTATCTTACCACCTTGGGTTAATTTTTTTCTGATTCTGTAAGGTTGTGGAAACTAAAGATGTTTATTGGTTTAACCAGGGCTTTTTTTCAGCCGGGATTGAGTTCTGGCGCTTCTGTACATTGCACTGCGGGCGGCTGTGGGCAGCGCAGCGATTGGTGCTGTGCAGTGGCCATTGGTGGGGCGAGAGGGCAAAGAAGAAAAGTTCCCTTAAGAAAAGCTCAACAGCTAACAGCTTTCACTGGGTTGACCTAAAAAAAGGTCAACAAGTTCCAGCACCTCTTTTTTCTAGCAAAAATGCCCTGGGTTTAACCAAAATTAACATACCACTTGATTGTAATAAAACCTCTGAGGCGTTTACAAGAAATATTAAAATTATCATTAAAAACATTAAAATTAACAGTGAAGAAATCAAAACATGCAAGTATTATGTATCTAGATAGGCTTGCCCACAATAAAACATTTTAAGTAGGTACTTAAAGTTTGTTTTAGTTGCTTTTACTACTATAATACATTTGTTGATTTGCTTTATATAGAGCAAATCTTGGTACACCAGGAGAGTGAGAATTGCTCTAAAGAGCTTTTTCAAAAGTGAAAGCTTTATTTTAAAAGTGCAGGCCTATGCTCACTTACTCAAAAGTAGTATCGTATTTTTTGCTCTATAAGACGCACCAGACCACAAGACGCACCTAGTTTTTGGAGGAGGAAAACAAGAAAAAAAATATTCTAAATCTCAGAAGCCAGAACAGCAAGAGGGATCGCTGTGCAGTGAAAGCAACAATCCCTCTTGCTGTTCTGGCTTCTGGGATAGCTGCGCAGCCTGCATTCGCTCCATAAGACGCACACACATTTCCCCTTACTTTTTAGGAGGGAAAAAGTGAGTCTTATAGAGCAAAAAATACGGCAATTAGATAATTAAATGGGGCTTATTTTTAATAAGTTTGTTTAGGATTGTAGCTTGAAGCACACACACAATTTCTTCTTACAGTAGTTACTAGTTCCTGACTACCATTTGATTTTCCATTGTTAAAAAGGCTTTCTCCATGGAGAATGGCCCAGCAGATGGTAGGATATGCTGTCACCTAGCATCTAAAGACAGGTAAACTAACCTGCAGAAGTAATCTTTTGACTAGGATCTGGATA